GGTTTTCGCCTTTTGGGATACCTACGCCGTAACGTCCATCAGGGTCGCCGATACGAGCGAGGAAGACGTGGAAGAGGTTGTGGATGGACCCGTAGAATGCCAGGTTGGGGGTGTTCTCGTTCGCCTCCACCATGTTCCCCAAGATATCGATTCCCTCTGATGAGTTCAGGCTGACTGGTCCATTGGGCTAGGTGGAATAATAACAAAGTTACAAGCACAGTTTTGGATTAGCAAGACCTATCAACGAGTCCACTTTAAAATGGATGCTGAAAGCAGAGTCACAATGAGACCGTAGGGGAATAGGCTTGACTAACGAGTACAAGGGCGGGAGAACGAGGTTTAGCATGGAATGTTGCGGCGGACAGTAATGAGGCAAGTTGTGGGAGTTAGGGCGGGGTTAGATGTTAGTGACGGTCATGATTTCATTGGCCACCTTTATCATCCCTAGCCAAAGCCGCGAACTTGGCGAAGATTCAAATAACTGATAGCTCTTGGACAATATTTCCTGGAAAACATTTCGATCCGGGCGTTGTGCATTCGTTTTTCATGAGTTTTTCTCTATTGTTGAACTATAAAAGAATTACAGTTCAATCGGAATTAAGAGGGTAGCAAATGAATGTCTTCTTTGTTAATGAAAATAGGAAGAAGAGACGAGTGAACCTACTCCGTATGCCTTGAGTTTGTCAACGGCATTTCTGATCCTGCTCTCGTATCGGGTCATCTGGTCTCGCGTCATGAACGGGAGGTCCAGGAAGTGCATGTCGTCTGGTCGAGATGGGAATTCCCCTTCCTCGTAGTAGGACATGTGCGGAGCAAATCCTTCCTGTTCGATGCAAGGACTTTTTATAATATCGGAGGGTATCAACTGATACGATGCTCTATGAACGAACTATCCATGCATATTGCTAATTGATAGATATTATAAACATGTTTTTCTCTTCATTCAAAGTGGACAAGGTGAACTTTCATGATACTTCGGACGTCGACCATCCAATGAGACTGGTCTTGAAATAAGAGAGAAATACACGCGACTTTCAGTCTCGTATTCCTCTCCTTTTTAATTTTAAATTCAGTAGTGACGTATATGAAGCATTTTCAACTAACGTGAATGGTTTTGTCCCAGCCAATGGCTTCAACCCGAGGGAGGTTGTTACTCAGCCTCTCGGCATCAAATCTGGAATGAAATGACCGGAAATGTTCATGAGGTCCAATGGGAATAGGATACATACTTTTTTTTTCCTGTGGTGATATATGCTTTGCCTACCGAGCATTGAGTTGGTGGTGCATGTAGAAAAAGAGTTCCCCCTTGCGGTCCTTGTGGCCCCATTCGTCCCGCCACCAGAAGGGGAAGTCCGCGTGCCAGTGGTGATGGTGGTTGTTGAGCCCGATGTCCTCGCCGAAGTAGGCCACTCGCTGCTCGAGGTTCTTCAGCGTTCCTGTGAAGGTGGCCTCGATCGTCGCGTCCTCCTGCTGCATTTGTGCTCTATAAGACAGAAACCGCAGTGCGTGAATGGGGGGCAATTCTGCTAGATGGAGGATTGGTTGATATGAACAAGCTTCCATTCTGCTCCACAAAAATCTTTGCTCCCTGAAGTTATAAATGATGGATATGTGAGAGTGAACGCAAGTTTACGGCCCGTGATAGGCATCGGGACACTCGCTATTCTTTTGTCAAGAGCTGAATGGTACTGGATCTCAGTTCTGACGCTGAATTCAGGTGAATTTACCGGTAGGCCTGTCGGATGGTGGTGGTTGGGAAGAAGAAGTGCGGGTTGATTTCGTAGAGGGGAGGGAGCTGGATTCCCTTCAGATCTGGTCGGGTGAGGACAGCCATGGTGAGGGCGTATACGAACATTCCTTCGTTTGCCTTAACTCGAGCCCTTGACGCCGTCTTGTAGAAGGTGTCCCAGTCCTTGGCCGCTGCGCAGTAATCATATTTATGTATAATGTATTTTCGGAGAGCGTATTGCCAATGACCGAGGACAAGTTAAAAGACAGAAAGCGAAAAGAAGATAATAAGTTTACTTCTTGTACTTCAAGAATCGGGCATGATTCTTGAAATTTTAGAAGTGTGTTTCATTAAGTTTCCATAAGTTATTTTGGATGTGTTAAGGAAACTTGTGGAACGTACATTTGAGAATCTTGAACAGGAGGATCATCTGCCTTCGGTGCTCGGGATCGAAGAGGGAGAAGTAATGATGTCGGGGAAGAAGCTTTCCAGCCTTCGCCATCTCGATCAACTCCTTCACG